TATATATATATATATATATATATATATATATATATATATACATACATATATATACATACATATATATATACATACATATATATATATACATATATATATACATACATATATATATATATATATATATATATATATATATATATATATATATATATATATATATATATATATATATATATATATATATATTAATGTCACTGCGATATTTAAATGTCAATAACATAATATTATTAAAGGAAGAGAACATTAACAAAGAGTAACCCCTTTTTTCGGTTTATAGTTGCTTTTTATTTTATTCTGCTCAGTTCGTTTTATTTTCTATAAAGCATGGAAACAAATTATTGATCTGACAAAGCAACTACTAGTTTTATGTTAAACACTGCTGCAATGTGTTTCTTGCAAGAACAACGTACTAATTGATTAAGCATGTATTCAATGTGAAAAGACATGCCAGAAGCTTCCGAGACTCAGTTTTTCTTCATGGAATATACTGTTCTTCCTCCACCTTATGTACTGGCCGACCAGCACAGACTATCACATGCTTGAAAACGACGTTAAACCCAAAACAAAATCAAGTTTCCATTTCTAACGTATAAAAGAACATTAACATACATAACTCCATACATTTGAAATTATCTCTCTTAATAAAATTCAGGTTATTGTATTTTAAGAAAGTTTATTGCACCAACTACTATATGTTACGTATGATAACAAGTTTGTTTTAGATCTATTTTTCTGGAATATTTTTTCTTTTTGTATTCTAAGGTTTAGATCAAATTTTATTCGAAAGGTTAAAGTTGTTCCCTTTTGATATATACCAGGAACAGATGCTTTGATCTTATTTTCATAGAACTATTGAATTATGCACTTAGTTGAATAAAGTGAATAGTATGTGTACTGTCACGATTGCTCAGTCCAGGGTATCAGGAAATATATAAATTTAGATATCATTACCGCGTTTGATGTGTAAACAACGCAGGAGGCCAGTGTTATTCCATATGCAAGTTGACAGTCACTCTGACTATATAATAGCCGCTAGCAGAAGGCATATAGTCCTCACACCCAGGCGTTAAACATTGGTTTAAAGATCAAAAGGAGTCCTGCTGGGTGAACGGGGCGTGTTCTCACCCGCCACGTAGACTGCAAAGCGAGAAGACATAGTCTAATAAGTTTAATTGGGACAGTCCACAGCGACATCCATTGGAATTAAGATGGATATGCAATTAAATCTTATATCAGATTTAGAGCTAAAACTCGCTGTAAAATCTTCAATAAATGCCTAGACAGATCGCTGTGAAAATAGGATTACTCCAGGAAAAGCCACTCATAGTTTGGCGGGAATCTTAGGACATAATTGTAAGATAAGGAAACGCTTCGACAAGGTCAGTAAGTTATTTGCTCGATCTTTAGCAAAACATTACAGCTTCATAAAGGGGCCCCGAGTGGCCGAGGGGTCTAAAGTGCTGTCTGTTACGGATCACTGCCATCTCACCTCTGTCTGCGTGTGTTCGAGTCTAGGATTCGGCGAATGTGGATATGTGAGAAAGCTTGCCAGTAGCTTCTCGTGGGTCGGTGGTTCTTTCCGGTGATTTCCCGGTTTCTTCCTCCACCATTAATACTGGCCGCCATGAATAGCCTATCGTGTGCTGAAATGGCGTTAAGCCCAACAACAACAACAACAACAACAACAACTTCATAATTGTAATTATTGGTAGTAAGTATACTTAATTACTGGGATTGTTTCAGTATGTAGAATTACCTTGTACTTTTCGTTTACAAGCGTATTCGAGAAATGAATTTGAGTTAACGTAGAGAATTATATAGATTGCTATATAATATTGTAATTAGCTGGTAGATTGCTTCTTAGTAACCAGTACCTTTAATAATAAGTTATAGTTTACGCATGTTTGAATTAGAATTTAGGAAAATGATTGAAGTCTGTCAGATTAGTTACAAAGGATGTATGACTATATCAGAGCATGGATATTTGAATATTTGTATATTTGGCATGAGTTGTAATGTAATGATAAGAGTCTGATTTGTTGTTATTGATTGTGTATTGGAATTATAAGTATGTATTGATTGAATAAATTTATTGTTGTATGTATGTGTAATTGATACCGTGCTTTTATTGTGACGTGTTTTTATGTTGTGTTTACCATACACGAACGTATGCGTATTTCGGTGTGAATGAGTGCGTGACGGGTCAAATTTAATAGCCCTAATCTGATGATAGGCTGTGTGTAGTGTGAGATGTGAGCGCTGAGGAAAATATTTTCCATCCATGTGTTTTCACGGGAAGCTTTTTCAGGAGACAGAATTTCCGGTGCAAGTTTCGTAGCCACGAGTCTCTAAGAGGGAAACGGAAGTGAGACTAACAGTGCAGTCGGAGTCGACAACGCGTAGTCGATATAGAAAAGAGGGATAGAAGAGAATGATGAGAAAAGTGGTGTGGAGGTGAAAATATAGGAAGAGGAGAAGGAGAAGGAATTTGGAGGGAGTCAGGGAGGACGAGAGAGAATTAGGAGATAAAGAAGAATACACAGATGAGTAGAATATAAAGACAGGTGGAAGTCTCACATTCTACGAATCAAGTGATGCTATAGGCTTGAAAAGAGTTGAGGGTAAGAAGTCTATTTGGGAAATTAGAATTATTGACCATTTAATTATTATTAAATTGTTTTTATTGAACTTCATTTATGTAGCTTTAATCATTTAATCATCGGCATTGGTGACTGGGGGCTCGGAGCTGTACATCCTACTTTCACTAAATCAGCTTCAAATCAAAATCGAGCATGGGTGGGACTTCTACAATAATCTAAATGACTATTGGAGGCACCCCACCCCCAATCCCACACAACCAAAACCTCACAGTGGGGACAACCTTTTACATATACCTAATAATTGCAATTTCATCTTGATTAGAATGTATAATTAAATTACCCGCGTATTTCATATTTGGATTAATAGTAAATAAAATTATCATCATATAATGTTCTTATTTAAATATTGGATTTCGTAATAATTAAAATGCCTCATACGAGTATCTTCGTACTTATCACTGGATTTTATATATCTATATCATATTATTTGATTATCTTAGTAAGATGGGGCTTTTGCCTGTAAACTTTATGGTAACAATATAGTATGTGATTATTATTTAAGAAATGTGTAGTTACAGATTGCAAGACGTACAATATAGAAGGTAAGGGATTATATTAAAATATAATAGCTAATTATGATCTTTTCCTCTCACCATACCAAAATTGTAAACGTATAGGAATAGATAGGAGCTTTAATGATAAACACTTATATTGTTGAATACTAACAGAGAAGAGTCGATTATTTGAATATTATTGTATAGCTAAGGTATATAATGTACTGGAATGAACACTAAAAAGACAAATGTAGTTAAAAACAAGAAAAAGAGGTAATAAGAAACCGTTATGAAAATGTGTAGAATATTGGGCATAAAGTTGAGAAAACAAAGAGAAAGGAAGGAAAGAAGAGAAAAAAAGAAAAAAGCGACATGAAACTAGCGAGATTGAAAGTAAATAGTACTTCCTAAAATAGATAATCGTTGCAGAAGCAATAGCCAGACATTTGGAAGAAAGGAAATTGCCGTTTACAGATGTTCGTCACCCATACAAGTACATAAGGGTTTATAAATTATAAAAGAAAATTGCCATTTACAAATGTTCGTCACCCATACAAGTACATAAGGGTTTATAAATTATAAAAGAAAATTGACGTTTACAGATGTTCGTCACCCATACAAGTACATAAGGGTTTATAAATTATAAAAGAAAATTGCCGTTTACAGATGTTCGTCACCCATACAAGTACATAAGGGTTTATAAATTATAAAAGAAAATTGCCATTTACAAATGTTCGTCACCCATACAAGTACATAAGGGTTTATAAATTATAAAAGAAAATTGCCATTTACAAATGTTCGTCACCCATACAAGTACATAAGGGTTTATAAATTATAAAAGAAAATTGCCATTTACAAATGTTCGTCACCCATACAAGTACATAAGGGTTTATAAATTATAAAAGAAAATTGCCATTTACAAATGTTAGTCACCCATACAAGTACATAAGGGTTTATAAATTATAAAAGAAAGTTGCCATTTACAAATGTTCGTCACCCATACAAGTACATAAGGGTTTATAAATTATAAAAGAAAGTTGCCATTTACAAATGTTCGTGATTCGTGCAAGTGCATGTGCATTACAAATTGGTGCATTAAAGAAAATACTTTTGACTTTTCAATAAATTTGCAAACGGCATCAAAGTTGCGAATGGTTGCTTCATCTGGAAGGGTTGATTAACTTTCCAAAAATGTATTTAATCTCTCTCTCTCTCTCTCTCTCTCTCTCTCTCTCTCTCTCTCTCTCTCTCTCTCTCTCTCTCTCTCTCTCTCTCTCTCTCTCTCTCTCTCTCTCTCTCTCTCTCTCTCTCTCTCTCTCTCTCTCTCTCTCTCTTACACACTCACAGACACACACATAAACACACACATTCACTGCCTAAATGAGAAGTCTAAACCCAGGTTTCAGTATTTAAGAATAACGTATTATAATTGGATTGCTTGTAAATTGTAATTTGTTTCGAATAATCTGAATAAGCAGTATGGCCAATACAGAAATTTATAAATAGAATAAGTGGTATGGCCTATACAGAAAGTTATAAATAGGATAAGCGATATGGCCTATACAGAAAGTTATAAATAGAAAAAGTGGTATGGCCTATACAGAAAATTATATATAGAATAAGCGGAATGGCCTATACAAAAAGTTATATAGAAATAATGTACGGCAAGGTGTGAACCGTTGATTCCCTATTTTCGGTATCTTTCTTTATTTAGAAATTAATAAAAGAAAACAATACCCATTTTCTGTTGCTGATCACATTTTGTTACCATATATCGCACAAAGTTCCGTCGTATATTTTAAATGGCAACATTCAGTTTGTTCTTTCCAAAATTGCGGACACCGCTCCAGTGGCCTAGTGGTAAGAGTATCCGACTCGGATGCGGGAAGTCACGGGTTAGAACCTCGGCTGAGTCATACCGAAGACTTTAAAAATGGAACTAATAGCTACGTCGCTTGGCGCTCAGCATTAAGCGGTTAGTGTTAGGACTGTTCGGTCTGGTGTCAGGATAATGTGACTGTGTGGGACATCATGCTACATGTCTGCAACTTGATGCCCCAGTACTAGACATCACTATAAACTGTCACACTGCATACATCGTAGCGATATGACTAAAACCTTTTAAAATTACTTTAAAAATCTAAATCACACACACAAAAAAATGGCGTCCTACAATAGAGAAAAAATGAGCCGAAAGAAAGGTAGTTAATAGAGTAATTTACATACTCTTCTAGCTTTAAACACCGAAATTCAGTTCGAATAAATTTAATATAAATTGACTTTTTATAAGCTAATTGCTACAAAAACCAATACAAGTATAGAAATGTTACATTTCTTTAGATTTTCTGCATAACTCATGTATGTATGTATGTATGTATGTATGTATGTATGTATGTATGTATGTATGTATGTATGTATGTATGTATGTATGTATGTATGTATGTATGTATGTATGTATGTATGTATGTATGTATGTATGCATGCATGCATGCATGCATGCATGCATGCATGCATGCATGCATGTATGTATGTATGTATGTATGTATTTATGCATGCATGCATGTATGTAGGCAGGCATGCATGTATGTATGTATGCATGCATGCATGTATGTAGGCAGGCATGCATGTATGTATGTATGCATGCATGTGTGTCTTACTTGTATGTTTTATTGTAACTAGTGAGCGTATGCATGTATATAAGTATGGATGGAATAATATAAATTGATAGTATGTATGCCGATATACTCATTTACGAGAGCTTTTACCGCTACATTTTTTGAACGTCTGTACAATTTTTTTGGTTATTTTCCCAAATTAAACTGTCCAAAAATATCCATGAGATTTTTGTACATGTTAGTAGTTGATACGATTAATGAATGCATACAAAATTCACTCAATGATACTCCTTTCACAATATATCTTTTCGAAATTCAATGAATAAAATTTATTTTTGCTCCATTTATGTCACTTTGGGATTCAACTGCAAAATATGATATTTTTCTACTGGATATTGTTTTGCAAATTGATAATAAGCTAGTATATCACTGACTTTACATGCAAGATTTAAAACCTCATCCGTTATTTATGTCTCCGAATTCAGTTTAGATTAGCTGCAAATGATATACTGACTGGCAACATTGTATGGAACCAATCTGATATTTCGCAACGCCGTTCAGTTGCTACAATATCGATGGCTTTGTCTGACCCGCTGACACTTGATACCACTTCTGTTACTTTAACATTTTACACGCAATGGGCTTGATAAATTCTGTCAATAGATAATCTAGCCATACGGAGTATAACAGGAGAAGCAGGGATTGGTGAGCAGGAAAGAAAACTGTCAGAGGTAAAAGAGAGGGTTTTGTTGGGGGGGTTTTTCTTCTTTAAAATGGACATTGTTCTTTGACTTATTTCTATGGATCCATGACTAGCTCAACGGATGTATAGATGTTAAAAAAAAACTATAAGGTAAGAATCTTTATTTTCTCTATAAAATGATTATTGTGATAGGTATTCAGTGTGATTGATAGGAAACTAATATTGTAACACCTTTGCAGCTCCACCATGGTGCTAGTAAGCAAAGGGTCATATTTATATTATCTTAGTCATACAATATCTTTTGCATTGTTTAATTCTAAAATAGTTCCAAAATGTATATCTTTTCCAAAAGATATTACAGCATCTTTATACAATTGGTGTCGTGAACTGGTACGAGTTAATATTTAAAATATATATGGAGATGAACATTATCATTAGGGCTAGAGACTGTTTTAATTTGTCTCCGGCTTATGGCCTTGTCTGCATTGCATGGACATAAAGAGATAGGTGCCGTAACACGAGCACCTGATATCACAAGTCAGTAGAGGACAATTTTCTAAATTTCTATAATTTGTATAAAAGTGTTCTTTCTCCATAAAAATTTATATTCAAGTTATCTAGCAGCCTCATGTAATATCCAGGCAAAAATTCTCTCTCTCTCTCTCTCTCTCTCTCTCTCTCTCTCTCTCTCTCTCTCTCTCTCTCTCTCTCTCTCTCTCTCTCTCTCTCTCTCTCTCTCTCTCTCTCTCATATATATATATATATATATATATATATATATATATATATATATTTATATATATAGATATATATATATATATATATATATATATATGAGGATCTTTTCGAGGCAATGTGATGAATGATTAGGGTCTTTTTGAGACCAACGGATGATGGCTTTTATAACAACTGGATGAGAACCCTTTTGGATGAAGGCTTTTCAGACTTTATGATGACGGTCTTTTTGAGACTAAGGGATGAGTACCTACAGTGCATTTTATATCTTTCATTATCTTACTTTTGTAGTTAGGATCATTGACAAGAAGTTGTCATTGAGTAATTGAACAAACAGACTACCCTGATTATGTCTTCACACTAACCATAGTAGTCAATGCAATAACCAAACTGATAGTAACAACTTAATTTTACGACTTTATCGTTTGGTTAACAAACTTTGTAAAAAGAAGTCAAACTTAAAATGGCACGGAAATAAAAGTCAATATGCCAATTTGGGTATATTTTAAATTTCGGTCTCCAGGGATTATTCTCTAAGTTTCTAATACAGAGATTTGAATGGTGTGATCAGTATCGTCTTTTTTTATAAAGCATGCATGTTTTCAGTTAAAATGACGTTTTAACTTGTTTTATTGGAGAGTGGAAGGATATATCAGAAGTAGTAATAACGTAATATAGAATTTTCGATTTTATTTACTTATCATGATCTACCCCGTCCATGCGCCCTTGGTTTTATCGCCTAGGCTCAACCTGAGTGACATTTAGCAACTATGTTGCGACTGCTTTGTGCCACCACGAAATTTGTCGAATAGAAATGTAATCGTTTAAGTAATCGTAACAAAATCATTTTTCCGGCGCCGCCCGCGAAACCAGTTGTTATCAAGAAAGCTCCGACAGTAGATCCAATTGTTGTACCTACGATAGTGGCATTTACTGCGACCCCAAAGCCGACGGTTGCTGATGCAAAAAAAAAATCAATAAACTGTGTCTTCGACAACAAATGCGCGCTTATAATTCACTAATACAACGCCTTTTAGCGATTTCATTTTGCAGCTTTTCCACGTCAATTACATCTTCCCGTCGGCGGATTTGAGTGTCCATCAAGTACTGTCATTGATACTGTCGCTACATCGGCAATGTTAAGCCTTCTCCCTTGCCTACATCGGCAATGCTGATTATACCCCCTTACTTCCAGTAGCAATGTTGAGCATACTCACTTAGCTATATCGGCAATGTTGAGCATACCCATTACCTACATCGGCAATGTTGAGTATGACTTCCTTACATACATGGACAATGTTGAGCATACTCCCTTACCCACATTGGTGGTGTGAACATACTCCCTTCGCTACATCGGCAATGTTGAGCATACTTCCTTACCTACATCAGAAATGTTGAACATACACCCTTACTTCCATCGGCAATGCTGAGTATACTCCCTTACCTACGTTGGCAGTGTTGAGCATGCTCACTTAGCTATATCAACAATGGTAAATAACGTCAATAATCTGACAGATTCTACCTCCTCAACGTGAAATGATGATTCCATTTAATATAGATAAATTACAAATAGGGCATAAGATTCAGGTCAGACCCTGGTCTCTGATAATATTAACTAGGTCGGTAATCAAAGCTATTATTATTTCATTAAATTAAATCAGTGAGGTAGGTATTCGATCAGGTCATGTTTTGAATCCAATTTCACGAATTATTGACAGGACCTGAGTCCCGTTTCATAAAATATTGAACGCCCAAGATATCTTACGTTTTTACGTATGATTTTTGTACGTGATTACGGGAGTTTCACTAACAATAATTATGTAAGATTTTCCTACGTTTCCCTCACAATTTTACATAAACGTTACCACAAATACCAGGCAGCCATAAGTAGTAAGATTTTTATGGTATGTTTGTGGACAGCGAAAGTCACGGAGAATCCCCGAGTGGCCTAGTAGTATAAAGCGCTCTACGTTACGGACCACTGCCATTTCACCTCTGCATGGGTTCAAGTCTATGATTCGGCGTATGTGGATATGTGAAAAAGCTTGTCAGTAGCTTCTCGTGGGTCGGTGGTTCTTTCTGGGGATTTCCTCCACGTGAAGGCCCAGCTCGGAGCCAAGCTCCTTCTTAAAGAGACTGCCGCCCAGCCTGTGACCGCAAACAGTTGCAGAATGACAAGGCGTGCAATACGCCACTATAATATCTAGTCAGTCAGTCAGAGAGTCACGGTGAAAATGTTGCGATGCACCCTGACATTCCAATATATACCGTATAACGGGTCCTTCTCTATTTTAAATCACAATTATAAACATTCTCTGTGAAATAAATAAATACGTAAACAATAATATCTGTACAATACATTTTACATTATTGATTTTTCCGAAAAAAAAATATATTTAAGATAAACATTAAGTCAGCAATTTTAATTACTCTCCTTCAAAAGGTACGGCAGAAAATTTATGCTATTATGTAACGTATGCCGTGGTCGGGAATTGCAGATATATAGAATTATTCCATCCAGTGTGAAACACAATACATTAATGCTATTAAGAGACAAATCAAGATGCTGAAAATCTAAAGCAGTAGATTAATTTCTTTCTCAAACCTTCTGTACGGTATATATCATTGCCTTCTATACGATAGGTATATATTTTCTATACGCTATGAATCATTGCCTTCTATACAGTATATATAATTGTTTTCTATACGGTACACATTATTGTTTTCTATACGGTATACATCATTGTTTTCTATACTGTATCATTGTCTTCTATACGGTATGTATTATTGTTTCCTGTATATTTACATGCGACATGTCAACATTTCAACTCTTTATGGTAATAGCAGGTGTCTTTTAATATTG